GTTAGGTATATGTTTTTATAAATTATCATGTTCTAAGTTTTGTTATAATTAGAATTACGATCTTAATATTGTAAGTCTTACCTATTGTTGCAAAATAGTTTAAGGAAACATTTTCAAAATAATTAAATGTTAAAACCTACTTGCTTCTGATTTACATCTTTTAACTGTTTTTACTAATATTTCTTTCAACTGGAAAAAAAATATAATTTTACCATTTTCACAAAGAGAAAAAATTGATAAATAATTTTTAAAGTTTTTTTTAAAACCAAGGTGAAACTTTATTATTTATTTTTAAAAAACTGTTAATTTGTTTTCATAAGCTTTTGTAATATTATTGATATCTTATATTTTGTATTTTCTATGTGTGCAGAATTGGAAGAAAACACTAATGCCAAAGTGCAATGGTTCTGTGAAATACTAAATGGCTTTGACTGCATTTGTCTTTCATTATTTTTTATTGAAATTATTCTGAAATGGTTAGAAGGATTCAGAACATTCTGGAAGAATGGTTGGAACATCTTTGACTTTTTAGTGACTTTTACTGTAAGTGTAGATTAAATAAATTAAATCACCTCAAATTTTTTACAGAATAAAGTATGTACTAATAAAAAACTCAATAAGAACATTTTCACCTACAGTGAATTGAACCAAAAATATCACCTGTTTTGTCACGCTGGAAGACTTTTTAGAATTGTTAATCAGTATAATATTTACATAATTTTATGAATTGTAATAGAATGTTGTCAATTTCACAGTTGTATCATATATGGCTGTGTTTTTTGTTTTTTAGTTGTATAAGAACATTTATCAATACATATGTCTAAGATACACACATGCAAAACAGATCACTGATTGGAGAAACTAATCATTGTTTATAATTAGTGTGCATGATTAGTAATGAAGAAGTCAAGAGTTTTAGATTCTTTGGCATTCTGTTTTATATTTACATTATTTCAAAAGTAAAAATAATGCATGATAATAAATTAACTTTATCTTACACCTACACCAGCTCTGTGACCTACCATAGCAGCAGCTCCATCTGTACATAAGTTTGACATTTTTTTTCATGTCTACTATGAAGTATGGAAACTTTAAAATTAAAATAAATGTAAGTTATCCCTATTGTGAAATTCACATTTCATGTAAATACTTTATTTAAAAAATCTGACTTTTTGTAACAACATACTTTTCACATTTAGTAAAAGATTGCCAACTTACTTGAAGATACGCATAGTAAATTTGGAATTATAGTAATAATTATTTCTCCAGTATGGGCTTGGTCCATTGCATGAGCAACACTGCTAATAGGAGATGTGAAACTCATGCTTTTAGGCTTACAGATGAGTATAAACCTTAAAACTGGTTTAAAACAAAGGGAAATTACCAAGAAACGGCTTAAGTATAACAAACAGAATGGGTAATATAGTAAAGTTTGCAAACTATCAAAAGTATTGATAGTTGAGGGTACTGTCAGTGACTGTTATCAATTCTAAAATTTACCATTGATGCATTGCTATTGGGACATTCATAAACCCAATCTATCAAGAGTTTCATGTACCATTACACTCCTAGTTGTGGTTTGCTTTATGTAGAAAAATAGTCATTTTCACAATGTGCAACCAGTAGACACACCAATTCATATTGTAGCATATAGGTTATAGTACATCTTTAACTGATATGTGTAAAATAAAAAATGACTCCTACCTTTAAAAAAATTGTGTATTTTTGTGGATATACCAGCTATCTGGAGCACTGCTTGTTGCTATTTGTAAGCTTGATTGTAGAATATTGATTTGTAAAGTTTGTGTAGTGTAGTAAAGCAAATGGAGACATTTCTCTATATAAATGGAAGATTGTTTAAATTAGCTGAGTACTGGATAGAATTTATCCATTTAGCAATAAAATGTTTGTATCATTTCTTTTTCTTCTTTTTATAGACATTTATTCCAGAAATAATACTTCTGGTCTTACAAAATAAGAAATACTCTTCTGTTCAGAAATTGGTTGAAGTTATGCAAGTATTTCGAGTCGTCCGTGCCTTGAAAATCGTGATGCACGTGGAGCAGGTTCGACTTATTGCTTTAGCCATCACAAAGGCCTTTAAAGTAGGCTTAATTAATTTTTTTTTTAATTATTAAAGTTATTGAAAATAAATGGCAAAATTCAGTAATTATTTGTTTATATTCGTATTTCAGTAGCATTAAAATGTCAGCAAAGTGAATAATAGAAACTGGACTTTTTTATGGTTTCAGTTGTGAGAAATAGTTTTATATAAGATTTATACTAGTATAATGAATTTTTTTGAAGAATGATGAAAAAGTGATTGAATAATGTATACATGACAGCTTCTATCTCACTTGGTGTCTATATTCATACATATATATATATTTGTGTATTTTTATCATACTACTATAATATATATTTACTGCAAAATAAAAACTATCAAAGTAGAGAATTCCAACTTTTGTAGATAACCAATGAAACCAGTTTTAAAAGTTTACTTTAATTTCACATCAGAATGGTATTCTCTATGCTCCTGCTGTTTATCAGTCTGTGATGAAATGTATCAAATTCTATCACCAGATAGTAGTAACTCACAACAGACTATTCCACCAAATAGTTTAGATTTATTTGGGTAAATTATTCTAAGTTTTTGTGCAGGTATTCTGCATGTAGTTAGTGGTGTCCTAACATGCTTGGCCCTTCCCATGTCATACCATTCTGTAGTAGTAAAGTCATAATTATTTCAAGGAATGTTGTAGAGACTTAAAAGGGAGAGTTCAGTAGGATATGTTGGAGCTGGCCAGTATGAGTAGTGACAACAGCATACTCATATTTGTGAATAAAGATTCTGTTTATTTGTGCACTTATTTTTCTTTTCTTGTCCATTTTAACAATTATTCACCTTATAACATTTCTGAAACTGCTGTATTGCTGATACACATATCTTTCTCTTGGACATATCGCTTATCCACAAATCTCAAGTGAATGCAAAGTTCAGGTAACTTTGTATTAAGATAATAATCTTTGGAATAGCACACCTGTATGTAAAGCAATGTCATATCTCATTCGATTACACTTAACCCTATGAATACCCTTAAAATTAAGTAAATTTGTGTATTTTACTGAGGTCTTTTCAGATGTGTGACATGTGATGTTTTCTGACTGAGATTTTGTTAAGTTACATTAAACTAAGTGTTGGGCACTGTATTTATTTTGTAAATTATTAAAAAAAATACATTTATATATACTCTCCGCAAATATACTGATAAATTAAGTGTTATTTTCTGAGTAATCTAAGGAAGCTAAAAATCCTGTTTGTAATAGAAGCATAATGATTTTCAAACAGGAAATGACATTCATTGCGATGATGCTTCTCACAGTAATGTACATCTATGCCATAGTTGGAGTTGTGATGTTTGGGAAATATTCCAATATTAATGTTGAAAAAGTGGATAGTGAAGAAAATTTCAAGTAAGTTACTTCAGATATCAAAAGTAATATTTTAAAACTAGGATACATTGAAAATTCATAAGATTTTTATATTCCTTAGTAAAGAAAAAAGATGTAAAAAAATAACTTAATGTTTATATAAATACATTGGTGTAAAATTAAGATCATCACCTCTGCCAGTTGTTCCAAATTTAAACTAGTAAATAATTTTTGAGACTACTGTTAAACCATCATAAACTTATTATGAATGAAGTTGCTAAATTATTATTGATGTTATAGCTATGTTCATTGGAAAAACTACTAATTTTCTGGAAAATGTTATTTTAAAAGACATGAGATATTAGTCATATATCATCAGTATTTTATCATAATTTCATAAAAAAATATGATTAAATAAAAGAACCAGAAACTTAGTCGCTGGCAGATGCTGTTACTATGTGCCTTCCCATTAAACGAGTCTTACAACAATTAAGATTTTCTAATTAATAGCTACTCTTCATTTTCCTATGAAACGTAAAAGTTCTAGCTTTTACTTAACACAGTCAATTAGAATTACTGACTAAATTTTCTCTTTTACTGCCTAAAATGTGTGTAGTTATAGAAAATCTGAACAGAATTATCTTTTTTCTTGTAGTCAGAATGTAAGTCATTATATATATTTCTGCAGTCTCATGTATTTTAAAGAAAGCTGAGACTGATTTTTTTGAGCATTTGATTTAGAAAATTCAATTTTGCATATATTTAAGGTTTTGTATTGGATCCCTAGAATTAGTTTTCTGAAACATTACCAGGCCTGGCATGGTCAAATGGTTAGGATGTTCAACTCGCAATCTGAGAGTCACGAGTTCGAATGACCATCCCACCAAACATGGTCACCCTTTAAGCAATGGGGGCATTATATGTGATGATCAATCCCACTAATCCTTGGTAAAAGAATAACCCAAGATTTGGCAGTGTTGGTGGTAGTGAGTAGCTGCCTTCCTTCTAGTCTTTCACTGCTAAATAAGGGATGGTTAGCACAGATAGCCCTTGTGTAGCTTTGCACAAAATTAAAACAAACAAACTGAAATATTATCCATTTTAGAAAGCTATGAACTGACATCACATTGTTTATACATGCATTTCTAACAATTCTTATATGAATGTAATAGCAAGTATAAAGAAATAATTATAATTACATCTAATTTACAGAAATAATTATAATTACATCTAGTCCAATGTTTTCTTGAATGCCTGGAAAAGATAAGTATGTAAAACTTCCATTTTCATCTTAAAAGCATATGAATTTACATTTTGGTTAAAGGTACCGTGCCGGTTGACTTTAGATATTTTATTACATGGGCAACAGTGTATTTGCCTATGTACATCATTATTTACATATATGATATATTCCATATATATTGTACAGTAATATGCTTTACTTAAATTTCAGAACTGTTTTTTTTAACTTAACCATTATCAATAAATTACATGTAGTAACAAACCTCAAATAACTTAAGACTCATGTAGAATTATTTTTAAAGAGTAGTTAGGCATAAATATAACTAGTATGTTATCTGGGTTAAAAGTAAAAGAAACCTCTTAAATCTCAAATGTTAAATGTCCAAGGACAACTTGATATAATTAGTAATTCTATTAGTGATTCATCAGCACTGTTCACCTTCAATTTGAGATTGTAAAGATAAAAGCTTAGAACCAACCCTAATGTTAATTTCTAGGTTATCCTTGAGTGTCATTTTTTAACTTGAAAAGTAGTTGTTATAATCTTATCAAGAAACAAAATTTGAATTGCAGTAGTTAATATTAGTAATGGTTTATAATGTAGTATCCACCATAAAACAATTTTTTTAGAAGTTTTAGTAAAAAATAACATATTTATATCTGTGTTTCACTATTCACAGAAATTTATCACAAGCTGCTGCCACCTTGTTCCAGCTTTTCACCTTGGATCACTGGTTAAAAGTTTTTAGTGACATTTACTCTCTAATTGGTACTTGGTTTTCAATTATCTACATCATCAGTTGGATATTAATAGGATCTTTCATCTTCAGAAACATATTTGTTGGAATTCTAGGTATGAATTTATGAAGTTATTATTTATGTATGTATTGTTTATTTGGCAAGCTTAAAATATTTTAGATGTGATCATTAAATTTGGATATTTCAATCAACTATTTTCACTTCTAAAGAACTGTTAATTGCACATCACGGCATATCCTTTCATTCTACCTTTCACATCAGATAAAGAAGACACTTCTCATTTTGAGAGAAACAAAATTCTTCAAAAATCCATAAGTCACATGTTTTTCTGTACTGAGGATGGACGCATAGTTACATTTGTACAAATTAAATCCCCCCACACACACAATCCCTGAATGCATGTCGATTATTGTTTCTTAATAATTAGATATATTCATAGCCCTATGCCATTTTGAATTTTGGTAAATTTATCTTTTCCTTCAGTAATTATACAGAAGAGATATCATTGATTCCAACCTCTTACAATTTAAGAGATTCTTGACATTGTTTTGTGAAAAAATATTCAATTTCAGATTTTGTATGATCAGTTAGCAAACTTTGAATTCATATACTGATACGCCTGTTCTGTTATTGCATAGTATTTTTGTACTTATAATATCGTTTTTCAATTCAAAAGACAATCTATTTACACAGTACTGGTATATTTTAACATTTGTCCTTGATATAATATATAAAATCCTTAAGTCGATGATAGCTGCCTTAGGAGTTACTAGTTATGAGTTGAAGTATGAGAATTGTGTAAGGAAACATTTTCCAGTGTTCAGATACAGACTTGTTTATGAATTTATGGCTCACAAATAAATAGAACATTTGTAGATATTTCTTAGATGGCTTTCCAACTAAATGTTTGACATCTGTTAACTATAATTAAAATGTATCAGTTATGTCTTCTTTTCTTTTTTTCCACTGTTGTCTCCATTTTCCACTACTGATTAATTTTATCATAATACAATAGCCATTCTTTTTTTTACCTTTGTTTGTTTTATTCAGTTTCACGTGAGTCTTTTCTTTATCCTTTCACTTGTGACTGGTCACTACACTTGTCTTTCCAAATATTACTTACAAATATCCAGAATTCACAGTATTGCAAAGATTGTGAAACTAGTGCTAGGTTTATTCTTGGAATAACACTTATACTCAGTGTATAAAATATACAGCATTATATGTATTAAAGTTTTAATATATAATTGTCAAAAAAAAGTTTAGTTTTAGAACATCTCAAAATCAAAATAAAGTTCAAATAAGGTAGATTTATCTCTGAAATTTTGTAAATCTTTTCTTGTTGAATTGTTCTTACTCTGACAACAACCATGTGACTTTTTGGTATTCTTAGATGAACTGATTTCCTTGCAAGTATTAGATATGTCTGCTTAATAACAGGAGGATCAAGCAGGAGATTTTTAAAGTAATCTGATTTTGAAAGCCAACCAAGTTTTATTAAGCTGTGTGAGAAATAAGGAGAGTGGATAAATATAAGATTAATCGAGATAATCTTTATTAAGACAAAGCAAAAAATTAAGATGCATATTTGCAGAGAAACTTATATAATTGCTTATGCTAAATTGATGAATAGGCCATCAGCTTTCTTTCCTCGAAATTTGGAAAACTGTTCAGTTTTCAAACAAGCAGAAGTTTGAAAGTATCAATGCTCCATACCAACACAGGACACCTTGTATCTTTTCTTTGCAGTAGTGACACCATATGAGTGTTAGAGCTGGGTGATTTAATTGATTAATCAACATAATTGTTATCTTTGAGCAGCAATTTTGTCAATAGTATTGTTATGACAGTAGAAGTCGCGTGATGCTGGGAGCATGCGTGCTGGAGTTTCTGGAAGGATCATGAATTATCGAGGAACCCCGCGAATGTCCGAGTGTTTGCCAGACGCCCTCTTTTTTAGTATATAAGCCCGGCAAATAAAGCCAGCGATAGTTAGATATGCAGATAGATCGAAGAGATAGATAATTGAGTCAAGCAAACAGTAGGCACCATAAGTAAAGTGTGTGAATCACTGTGACTTATAGCGTGTGTTATAAAAGTTGTTAAGTTTAAAGTGACTGTGGAAATTCTGTGTATTACAAAAAGTTGTATCGAGGAAGAATAAACTAGTTTTAATTAAGAAAGGACTTGTATTGCTGAAGTTCCTCAGAAAGAATTTAGACCGGAAATTAACAAACAAGCAGATATGCAGTAGTATCATATAAATTAATGGATTAGTGGAAATTGAGGTTGAATTAATTAATCAAAATTAGTTTTTCAAATTATTAATGTTTTTAACTATACCAACAGTTGATTAACTGAAATTACGATTAAATATATTGTCATAAAAACAATCAACACTAACCGAAATTAGTGTTTCTGATTATTACTATTTTTGGTTATTCGAACTATCCAATAATTGAAATATTGCTATTTGTATGTTGTTAAGTGCAAAGCTACATAATGGGCTAATTTTGAACAACAGCAGCACCCATTTACATTTTTTTTGTACATACTATAGTTTGAGTAACTTTATTAATCAATTAATTGATGAAAGTAATCAATTAATGGGATCATCATTAATTGATTAGCAAATACTAGTAATCACCCAGCTCTAGTGACAGGTAATTCTCTCAGAGCATATGTTGGCTGTAACATACAGACATCATCCACTCAACCAGCAAAAGACATTGCAGTCATTGACCCTTTCCTTCATTAATGTGTGAAGTTGGTGCAACATCCCCATGAGCAGAGTAGATACCACTTACTATCAAGAATTACAAAATCACAAAGACAACTAGTACAAAATAATTTCACTGATTTTCTGGACCAAATATTTTTGCCAAAATTGTATAGAAACAGACCGTGCAAATAATTATAAAACTTCCCATATTAAAGATGATAGAAAATACATGATATGTCCACACATCACAACTTTTGTTTCTGATTGCCTTTGATACAACTGTATGACATGTGTCACCTTACTCATAGTTCTCCATTCACCAATCTTGTACGTGACTTACAGCTTCACAGCTATACCAAATGTTATCTCCAAGGGATGACAGAAAACAAAGGTAGCTAGAACAAAATCAACTTAATGATTACCACGTGTTATGTGAAGATTTCACAGACCTAGAATGAATAAAGTATTTTTAGAATTATTTTTTAATAAGAAGGTATAAAATGCATAGTACCACATTATTACATGCAAGTACTATTGAATATAAGGCTGTTTTCAATTTTTTATTATAGTAAACAACTTCCAGAGTATCAGAACAGAGCTAGTTCAAGAAGTAGAGCAGTGTTTAGTAAAGTCTTCACTGGCAGATGAGTGTCAAACTGAAGTTGAGGAACTTGTAACAAAAAGTGGCCTATATAATCCCACTTCTTCACATACAAAATTTCAAAAAGACAAGCAAGCAGATGATGAAACACGACGAGAAAGTGTGTAAGACAGCATTAGTCTTTTTTTTTCTCTAAAGTAAAGGTTTTTACTCATGGTTAAAATGTTACTTTTTTTATATTTTTAACACCAAATCGATTTTTTTTTAGATTTTTTATTTTTAGTACATATTGCAAAATAATATTAACTCACTCATTTTAAACATGGACACAGGAGCTCATGACAGTACCATCCTTTTGTTTCTCACAACTTTGCTTCAAAATTAGAAGAACATATAAATTAAGATATAAGATCTAAGAACAACGGGGACCTATTGGTTCATCTAGATTGTCCCTTCTACTAAACTGAACTGTGTGTGTGTATATAATCAAAGCTAACTCTTATCATTCAAATACATATCAAACCTTCCCTTAAACTTCCTTGAAGTTGCTGCTTTCACCACATCACATTCCAAAGGCCTTCTAACCTGTCAGAAAACAAAAATTGTCTTAAATGAAGATAACTTCTACTCTTCCAAAATTTATATTTGTATCCCATTCGCATTGTCTCTTCCCTTAATAATCTTATACATCTCAGTTAGACTCCCTCTAACTTTTCTTTTCTCAAGAGAAAACAATTTCAGAGATTTTAAACTGTTCTTGTATGACAACTTTTCCATCCAAGGTATCATTCTAGTAGCCCTCCTCTGAATCTTTTCGAACAATTCAATATCATTCTTAAGTTGAATGCAACTGAAAACAACTTTTCTCCACTAATAAAATCTTTACAATGAATTCAACATCAAAAGACACTGGCTATTCATATCATTAACTACTTTCAAGTAAATATCTGTATTAATATATTGTTACATTATTTATTTCATCTTATGCATAATGATAAGTAATGTTTTAAATACTGATCTTAGGTATTATGACTTCAGTGAAGAGGAACTTTCAATAGATGAAGAAGAATATGAAGATGCTATGGAAGACCAGTTGGTGGCGGTTTTTTTTGTTATTAATATTAAAATCTGTAGGCTGTCAAAATAAAGTAGTTAATATCATTGTATACAAAAAATTTTCTAACGTTTTATATTTTAGTGAATAATTGATATTTTTCATGTTTATATGAGAGGAGAATTTGAAAATAATGTAAGTTCATGTTGGTTTTTTTTGTAAAATTTGTTTAACTAGAAATGTTAAACAACATGAGTTATTGTTTGTTTTAAACTACTGATAAACTTAAATTTTTATAGCTATGTAGGATAATATACAATAGATTAATTTAGTTAAAGCTGGTTAAGTAGTCCTTTATATATTTTAGGAATGGATAAGAAATAATAATTTCCTGCTAACATCAATATATATAATGGAAAAGTACAGAAATAAAACACTCTGGATATTTCTAATGCACACATGCAAGCACCATACAGTATTATTATCTGTTTGGCTATCAAGCTTACTAATAATTGTGAAATTAACTTTTGCAGTTCCTTTTGAAAGTTTAATCTCTGAAACACAGAAGTTATAGTTAATTTTCAGATACATGCAGAGCTAGAACAAAACAAACCAAATATTTAACTACAAGCTGGTACCAAATAAAAGCTAAGTTCACACTAGTTATCTAAAGAGCCTATTCCTGTAGTATTCTGGTACACTGATGTCCTCAAGTATCTGCAAAATGCACCTTCTAGAAACATTATTCAGATAATGAAATTAACATGGTCAGCAAAGAAAACAAACAAACAAGTGAACAATTATAACAACTATATATATTCACATATATGTTTGAAAGCTGTTATACCTAAGTTGGGATGATGGGCAGATTCAAGAAACTGGGAAGAAACAAAATCAAGAAAGTAAGAGCTGTGTGGATGCCACACTTTTATAATTGGACCAGATATATCCATTACATTTCACTTTAACTGATTAAGTATACAGAAACTGGTTCATGTATATGCTATAAAATATCCTTGTTGTGCCATACACATTTATCAATCATCACATATTAACCAAAATGTACTTATTGTTCATTGTACTTGTTCAACAAATCCTATGGGAGCTGAAGCACTCCTTTGGCTTCTTATCCCTAAACATATATTGTTGTCAAAGCCATCCCTTTCTTAGTTTCTTTTTTCTAACCCATAGCCTGACTGCTCTAACTGGATCATAATTTGATAACTGAATATTACTCACTTGAATATTCAAAAAGCTGTTTAGAGTTTCTGCTTTCAATGAACATATGTATTTGTTTTTTATTCTATTTTGGGCACTGAAACTCCTTTCACTCAACACTTTCAACACTTGTAATAGATATACATAGAACTATTGTACGCAGCTTTACAAATGCAGGCATCAATTTTTTATGCAGTTGTATAACCTTCTGGCACAGACTCTGAGTAGGTAAATGTTTGTATGAGCCTGAAATCATACCTTTTAGCATGGGCCATTCATGCTTGAGCTTTTCTTTGTGTAAGAGTTTGCTGACTTGTTTTTGTTCTTCTCTTTGCTCCACCTGGAGACTGCCATGAACAACA